CCTATAAGTATATCTATTAAGCTAGACAATGATGAAAAAGGTACGTCCATTGATTAAACAAAATATCGAGGTATGATCGGCTCACTTCTTTATTTAGCTGCAAGTAGATATTATGTTTAGTGTTTGTATGTGCGCTAGATATCAATCAAATCCTAAGGAATCGCATCTCAGTGTTGTTAAAAGAATTTTTAAATATCTTGTTGGCACTCAAAATTTGGGACTGTTTTATCCTAGAGGTGTTGCAATTGATTTAATTAGTTACTCGGATGCCGACTTTGACGGATGCAAACTTGATAGAAAAAGCACCAACGGCACTTGTCACTTTCTTAGTAATTCATTAGTATCTTGGTTTAGCAAAAGGCAAAATTTTGTTTCTTTATCAATGGCCGAAGCTGAATATATAGTTTCCGGAAGTTGTTGTGCCCAAATACTTTGGATGAAACAACAATTGGAGGACTTTGATTTGCATTATGATCATATCCCTATTAAATGTGATAATACTAGTGCCATCAATTTAAGCAAAAATTCAGTTCAACACTCACAAACAAAACATATTGAAATTCGACATTATTTTTTAAGAGATCAAGTTCAAAAAGGGGATATTGTGCTTGAATTTGTAAACAGCGACAAGCAATTGGTAGATATTTTCACAAAACCCCTACGCGAGAATCGCTTCAATTTTATTCGTGGCGAGCTTGGAATGTCGATTTCTACTTAAAAAGTTTTGTTATGACTGTGAAACTTGAATTTTTGTTAAAATGATATATGTGTATTGCTACATTGATATGGAAACATTTATATCAGTTAAATGTTCTCAAGTCCTTCATACATTTATTCTCCTTAGCAGTTTGTTATTCTCAACTGTGTAATTTTTTTTTTTTTTTGGTTCTGCATCTTGTGGTAAAGTTAACTTTGCATACATTGATTTTTTTTTAAACCCTCATGGTATTTTTTTTGTATTACCATTCCAGCAACACCAACACCCCATTAAGTTTAATTTCTGCTGGTATTATTTTATTTTAATTTTTTTTTATTTTGCTATTAAGCTTAATTTCATTTATTTTTATTTTTTTTCTCATTATTATTTTTTGTTTGGACTTAATTTTCTTATTTTTTTTCTACTTTTTAATTTCATTTTTCAGTACTTAAACATAAAAACAAAAACAAATCAAAATACAAATATTTACATTAAAAAAAACGCCCTTCATTTTTTTTACGGCCATACGCCGATCACAATAAACATACACAAAAAAAAAAAACATTCATTTTTTTTCGGCCATACGTCGATCTTACTTACTTGCCTCTTCCATCATTTTCTTCTTCTTTTTATCACCTTGGGCAACGCTTGACGCCCCTGCCCCCGTGCTTTCGTCGAGAGTGACGACTCCCCGCTGACTATCAAAGGCTAAGAACGACGTTGCTCCAAATCAGGCTATGGAGGTGGTCTTCCGTTTAAACTCTTTATTTTTTGCCTTCAATGCACCTATTTCTACTCTCGCATCCTTGTACATGCGTTGGAGCAGAGAGAGTTGGGCGTTGACCTGATGGAGCTCACTCGTCCTGTTCTGCAATCGGTGAGCCAATTTTGTGAGTGCCATCACCGTCTCCATACAGGACGTCAGTGTGAAATGATTGGCTTCTATGTTAGATTGAGCTTCCATGATTTGCTCAATCGACATCATAGGAAGGTTAGGAAGAGGAATGACAGGAAGAGTAAGAGTAAGGGCACTTGGTCCAGCAGAGCATATGGGATCGTTTAGGTCCGGAAACAGAGTGAGGGGACGGGATGAGGAAGCCATGGATTAGAAGTGAGAAATGTAAAAGAAATGAGCTGTAGAGATTTAGAAGAGAACGGACTGAGGTTTGGCCTCCTCCGTTCAGTTTTTTTTGTCTCTCGATGAGGAAGAAGAACAGAAGAGAGTGGTGAAGAAGAGATAGAAAAGAGTGAGGCGAAGAAGAAGAAGCAGACGAGTGTGATTAAGAAGAAGGCTGAAGAAAAGAAGACCAGAAGGGAGAGATAGCCGAGGCGAGCAGCAATCGAGGAGAGCTGCTTTTGTCGGTCGGCTGACGCAAAAGCGAGGCCGCATGTTCAACGCGATTTTCAACGAAAAAGAGAGGCGCGGGCAATTCATATATATATATATATATATATATATGTATATGTATATATATGTTTTGATTATCTATTTTTTTATGCCACTTATCACTATCATTTTCCTCCTCCTCCTCCCGCTTCTGACCCATGATTTCCTTTTGATAATGTCACAGGGGGAGAAATTATATGATGTTATGTATTATGGTATTATTTTCAAATTATGGTATTATTTGAAAACTAATCTGATGATTATGTATTTATAGTTTGATATCTTAGTCTCATATCATGTCTCTAATTAAAGCTTATTTATTACACATGTGCTAACCTATGTATATAGAAATGAATTCAGGAAGCATGACTTGATGGGGAGCTTTTCTTACTCCCAAATCAAATCAAAACATCATTGTGTGCCATCATCAAAAAAGGAGAGATTGTTAGACTTATTTATTTTGATGATTTATTTAATTATGTTTTAATTTATTTGAAAGAGAAAAATAGAAATCAAAATTTATTTTGATGATTTATTTGAAAGAGAAAAATAGAATCAACATTTATTTTGATGATTTTATGTTTTAATAAAATCAAATTTTATTTTGTCCCATTATTTTTCACCTAAACCTTTATCCTAAATGTTGTTAGAATGTATTTAATATTTGATTAAATCAGGAGTTCAAACAGCCCAAAAACATAAGTTTAAACAGCTCAGCACAGCAGCAGTTCAAAAGATTCAAGTATAAGATATTCAAATTCAAAATAATGGAGTAAAAGATATTCAAATTAATAATGATGGAGTATAATGGCTATAAACAGCTATAATTTTCATTATATATACCAAAACCTCTAATGTAAACAAGTTACAAAAACCTGAAAATATTCTTTGATTTATAATCACTCACATCTATTCTCAGAAATTATACACTGAGCCTTATAGCTTTAAGCCCATCTTTCTTATGTGAGGTTTACAGAAAAATCAGAGTTTTATTTTTATATCTATCTTTGAGAGATAATTCTTGTAGCTTTCTGTGAAAGCAAAAAGACATTCTTTTCAACCTTGTAAGAGTGTAGTACACTCAGTGTTTTTGACTTAGAAAGTCAGTGTAAAATCTGTGGAGGATTGCTCCATCTGTAAAAAGGTTGCTAGCACCCTGTGAAGTTAGAGCATAGTGGAAAATCTCAAGTGAAGTTTGAGGAGTGGACGTAGGCCGAGCTGAGACTAAACCACTATAAATTGGCTTGCCTCTCTCTCCCTTATCTCTTTATTTTATTTTAAATTGTCATAACTATATTTCACATTTTTACTGTGCTAAAATCATTAACTAACATAGTTGTTAAGACACTTGTTTTAATTATTTTTATTTCATTAATTATATTTATCTATTGTGCTAGTCATAATTTTTATTAGGATATTATTAATTTTAATTATAAAAATCTAATTCACCGCCTCTCTTAAGTTGTCTTTTGAGTAACAATGTGGATTATCTTTAGAGCATTATATAACATTCATTTATTTGAAAAATCAAAACTCTTTTATGTAATCGAATTTCCAATATTGACTTTTGACTATTCCAATGAGACGTTTTTTCCACGTTGAAAACGAAAGGTCACTACATACATTCTGGATGTGAAAAAACCTCTCAGTTTTTGAATTGAATTGTCCAAGAATTTAGAAGAAAAAAATAAAAAATAACTTCTACCTAACATATGGCAATACTTTTCTGAGTGCCTATCATGGTTGATAATTATAAGTTAAAACCCATATGCTCTAATGCTAATCTCTTGACAAGTACTTCCTTATCATTTACTGCGAAGGTGTACCACTAGCTGGTGTCACAAACAATGTAAGCCACATTATCGTTTTTGACCAAAATTATACACTTTACAAAGAGGTTTTACAACAATAATATTCTCTTCTTTGATATCACTGAATAATAAAATAAAATATCATAAATAGAATAAATGGACAATTCTTATTTTCTGTTAATGTAATCTTATTGTATCATTATTACGGTATTTAAATGGATAAATTACACTTTACACTTCTATATTTTACATTTCATTTCATCTTGTTCCCTTATCATTAGTTCTAGACTTTGAGTCAAGTAATTATTTGATTCCTTTGTTTAATGTCGTGGGAACAACTACACGTGATAATATTAATTACACTTACCACCTATCTACTTTTATCAAAATCCTACTTTAATCCCTCTACTTTAGGTTTTAGTAGTCCTATACTTTTATCAAAATCTTATTTTAACCTTCACTATAATTTTTCTATCAATTTTTTAGACGACTTTATTCAATTGTACCTAATTGTAACTTGACTAGAAGTGCAAGAGTAGGATAGGATTGACTTGAATAATTAAAAAATTAAAAGACAAAATATGTTTCAGTATAGAGTATAAGGTGCAAAGTGACCAATTTTGCAAAGTGACCTATTTAAATTCACCAAGGATCCTCTAGAGTGAAATTTTCCTAAAGTTTCCTAGAGTGATATATTGTGTGGTTGAGATTTACTGGTAAGTCACATCAGAAAAATTGATGTGACTTGCCAGTAAATCTCAACCATACACTGTAACACTTTAGGAAACTTTAGGAAAAAATCACTGTAGAAGATCCTTGCTCATTTAAATTATCATTGTTGACCATTACCTACCCACTAAAAATGGTTGAACAAAGGCCTTCCAGTGCAAGTGGTGTAAGATGCCATAAACCAAATCAGCCACCGAAAAATAGAAAAACAGAGGAAAAAAAGCACAGCTGAACTGGGGTAAACAAAAATAATTTCTAAAATTTTAGTGTTTAGCTCAATAGAATAAATATTTGGTTCGTCAAAAAAAATATTGAAAAATGCAATACAACTAGAATCATTATTGATCATTCTAGAAGAAAAATCATTTCATAAAAAAAAAAAACTAAAAATAATCATTGGATTTCACTTTCATTCCAGTGTAAAGAGTCTTGTGTTCGACTTTTTGCTTCCCGAAGTGCTTGTTTTTATCCTACTAAATGTGTAGGATCCCACCCATGAGAAATGCAAGCAATCAAGAAAATTATACCTTTGACCCTAAACAAAGACTGATTGAACAAACTTTTGGAACAACGAGTGACCATCCTATAGTTATTTTACTAATTTATATGTCAAACTCACTCATCAAGAAACCACTTCCTCACAACCAACCATAGCTATGGCTGTTTTCAACTCATGGAACTCCCCCCTCCGATCACATACTTTCCTTTGTTCTCTTTTCTTCTTCTACTTTGTGATCACCCTTTACTACTTCCCTCTTCATGCAAATGCACTGAGCTTCAACCTCACCAATATTGATCCAACGGTTAAAAATATCGTCATAGAAGGAGATACTTATGTTTCCAACAAAGGCATCCAAATCATCCCTGTAAACGAATTGTGGAAAGCTGGTCGAGCCACATATAAAGATCCTCTTCACCTTTGGGATAAAGCTTCTGGAAAACTTACTGATTTCCACACCTATTTATTGTTTGTCATTAACTCAGAAGGGAACTCGAGTTTTGCAGACGGGTTTGCATTCTCCCTCGTTCCCAATGATTTCACTCCGATGAACGCATTTGGTGCTGCCATGGGTCTTCCAATCTTGTCAATCTACCCCCCCAAACAGACTCCATTTGTTGCTGTGGAGTTTGATACCTTTCAGAATGTGGATTGGGACCCACTCAACATCACACCGGTGACTCATGTAGGTATCAGTATCAACTCTCTCAAATCGAATGTTACTGCAATATGGCACAATAACATAACACATGGAAAAGATAATGAAGCTTGGATAAGTTATAATTCCAAATCCAAAACTTTGAGGGTTGTTTTCACTGGATATATAAATAATAAGAGAATTGAAAGTTCCCTTAGTTATCAAGTTGATCTCAGGAAATACTTACCAGAATGGGTTACAGTTGGCGTCTCAGCTGCGACAGGAGATTGTTTTGAGAAACATATTGTTAAATCATGGTCGTTCGATTCAAGTTTGTAAATTGATGTGCCAGCCAATCCCAGTCCTGCTCCCGACCCCGGCCCGAGTCGCTGAGTGAAACCAAATCTCAATACCAGCCCCAGTCTGAGTCCCAATGCAGTCATGACTTGGGTGTTTCAAGTTTTCAATGTCTCTTCTACAATAAAATCCTCTGCAACTTCCAATTATTCTGCATCACTTTTATATGCATGAATAAGTTGATTAGTAAGGTTATGGTTAATGTATAAGTTGATTAAAACATTTCCAGTACAATATTTTAATACGTGTGTAAGAGGGGCTAATTTGAGCCCACTAAATTATTTAGGCCCAATAGCCCAAGATTAGTGGGCCCGAATTTATCGCAAGTCCAAGACTGGCGAGACCAGATTTATCACCATCAAACGGGATAAATGGCTCTAAGCCTCGAAAGGGTTCGGATCCACGAACCTAGAGACTTACTCGGCCCCGGACTCGAAAGGGTATTAAGCAAGCCTAGAGATCCGAGGCACTCGGACTCGAAAGGGTTCGGATCCACGAACCTAGAGGCTTACTCGGGCCCGGACTTGAAAGGGTATTAAGCAAGCCTAGAGATCCGAGGCACTCGGACTCGAAAGGGTTCGGATCCACGAACCTAGAGGCTTACTCGGGCCCGGACTTGAAAGGGTATTAAGCAAGCCTAGAGATCCGAGGCACTCGGACTCGAAAGGGTTCGGATCCACGAACCTAGAGGCTTACTCGGGCCCGGACTTGAAAGGGTATTAAGCAAGCCTAGAGATCCGAGGCACTCGGACTCGAAAGGGTTCGGATCCACGAACCTAGAGGCTTACTCGGGCCCGGACTTGAAAGGGTATTAAGCAAGCCTAGAGATCCGAGGCACTCGGACTCGAAAGGGTTCGGATCCACGAACCTAGAGGCTTACTCGGGCCCGGACTTGAAAGGGTATTAAGCAAGCCTAGAGATCCGAGGCACTCGGACTCGAAAGGGTTCGGATCCACGAACCTAGAGGCTTACTCGGGCCCGGACTTGAAAGGGTATTAAGCAAGCCTAGAGATCCGAGGCACTCGGACTCGAAAGGGTTCGGATCCACGAACCTAGAGGCTTACTCGGGCCCGGACTTGAAAGGGTATTAAGCAAGCCTAGAGATCCGAGGCACTCGGACTCGAAAGGGTTCGGATCCACGAACCTAGAGGCTTACTCGGGCCCGGACTTGAAAGGGTATTAAGCAAGCCTAGAGATCCGAGGCACTCGGACTCGAAAGGGTTCGGATCCACGAACCTAGAGGCTTACTCGGGCCCGGACTTGAAAGGGTATTAAGCAAGCCTAGAGATCCGAGGCACTCGGACTCGAAAGGGTTCGGATCCACGAACCTAGAGGCTTACTCGGGCCCGGACTTGAAAGGGTATTAAGCAAGCCTAGAGATCCGAGGCACTCGGACTCGAAAGGGTTCGGATCCACGAACCTAGAGGCTTACTCGGGCCCGGACTTGAAAGGGTATTAAGCAAGCCTAGAGATCCAAGGCACTCGGACTCGAAAGGGTTCGGATCCACGAACCTAGAGGCTTACTCGGGCCCGGACTTGAAAGGGTATTAAGCAAGCCTAGAGATCCAAGGCACTCGGACTCGAAAGGGTTCGGATCCACGAACCTAGAGGCTTACTCGGGCCCGGACTTGAAAGGGTATTAAGCAAGCCTAGAGATCCAAGGCACTCGGACTCGAAAGGGTTCGGATCCACGAACCTAGAGACTTACTCAAGCCCGGACTCGAAAGGGTATTAAGCAAGCCTAGAGATCCGAGGCACTCGGACTCGAAAGGGTTCGGATCCACGAACCTAGAGACTTACTCCATTTTGTTTCGAGCCGAAGTAGAAGTGCGCATCCACTCGGACTCCCGAGGGACAGCCTTGTTTCTGCTCGGACTTCTGAGGGAGAGCCTTCCGAGGGACAACTCTTGCTCTCATTAGTGCGGGTCTGAAGAACAGCCCTTGATTTCATCAATATGAGCTCCGAGGATCTTTCTTTTCAAAGTAGAGTGGACTCTTACTCGAACTCCCGAGGGATAGCCTTTGCTTCCATTAGCTGCCAAAGTAGAAGTGCACATCCACTCGGACTTCCGAGGGACAGCCTTGTTTCTGCTCGGACTTCTGAGGGAGAGCCTTGTTTCTGCTCGAACTTCAGAGGGACAGCCTTGCTTCTGCTCGGACTTCTGGGAGACAATCTTTATTTCTGTTGGTGCAAGCTTGGTAGACTCGGTTATCTTCCAGAGGAATCTTTCTTGCCAAAGTAGGGTGTGTGCTACCTTCGGACTCCCGAGGGACAGTCTTGCTTTTGTTCGGACTTCCGAGGAACAGCCCTTGCTCTCATTAGTGCGGGTTCCAAGGGCCCCGAGGTCGTGGATTTCAATCAAGAATTCATTTGCCTGAAATAGCAAAGCCAACAAATGAGACAAACAATATTAATTTCAGATCATGATTCAGGCATTATCAGAATGGGGCAACATCAACAAATAATAATGATCTATTTAAGCTACAACAATTCTACTCCTTTGAGCGAGTTCGTGAAAAATGCAACAATCAAGATTTTGTCTCTTCGAGCCGGTTCCTCTCAAGCCGACATAAAGCAACAATGTTCCAACAAAATTTCGGCATCAACATTTTATTTTCTCTGAGTGTCCACAAAATCAGTACACATCAATATATGGTCTTATTCTCTGTTACATTAGTTTATTCTTCCAAGTGAAACATTCACCGAATTTGGATATCGGGAATTCATTCATCAAATATATAAAGTTCAATATCGAGTTTTACTATTCTCGGAGCTACAGCAATCAATTATTGACAACAAGATTTATATACAATATGAGGGACTTATTTCCTTGGATTTCATTTGTCATATTAATGCTCTATCTATGTCAAACTTATCAACACAATGTCAAGTTTCAAAACATGAATTTCAAGACTATATTTCTCATGCAAATCAAGGTTCAACAAGGGCTTTATTTCCCTCAATGACCAAGCACTAGCTATTCAGAAGTCAAGAGCACAAATCCCAAATCCCAAATTTAATCTGTGCAAGCCTTGGTTCATGAGCAACAATATATACATATATATATTTTTATGTATCAGAAAAATCAAAAAAATTCAAGAATGGTGTTTCGGTGAACACTTGCTCACAAATTCGAAGCAGTAGAAAGAGAATGAAGACCAAAAGCAGTGTGGGTCAAGTCTGACAGCACGGACAGTGGGCGAGAAAGGAGATAGCATAAAAACTTGGCAATATTTGATATGATTCGAACTCCGAAAAAATAGCGTTGGGCTGTGAGACTAACGAGCTGGATGGTGTTAGGCAAAACCACACATCGCGTTGAGTGGGCGACGTGTGGTTCGCGTTGAACAGCCGAAGACGAAGGCAAAGCATCGGGCATCCACTATTTATCTTCCGAGCATCTACAAGATCGACAAGACAATAATTTTTTATTAACGGGGTTGAGTTCAAAAGGGCCTTTCTAGATAGTGGAGCCTCTATCAACATTATGACTCGCGCTACTCTAGAAAAGGCCGGAATCTCTGAAGAACGCATTGTGAAGCAGCCGATAGTCATCACTGGCTTCGGTGGAGAAAGGAGAGTTACTATCGGATGCGTAACAGTTGATTTAGCCGTTGGAGAGATTCGCTCGGCCACCAAGTTCCATATTATTGATTCTGATGCAAATTATCACATCATTCTAGGGAGGACCTGGATGCATAGATATGGGGCTGTACCATCAAGTTATCATCAGTGTGTTAAGGCTAAATGGGGAAAGAAGACGGTGACAATTCAGGCTACAGAAAGGCCGTTCGAGATCCATGAAGCTGATTATTCTGATGCCATCTACTTCACCGAACTGGCTGTCGAAGAAGTTCCCACCACCTCTAAGCCTCGAGGGGTCAAAATTCCTCGTTGGGAGGATATCAAAGATGACAAGGAGCCGATGACAGAATCAAGTAAGCGGGCGATGTCTAGACCAGAAAGTCCGCCTATTCCTCGGAAGGTGATGAAAGTTCGAGAAGGAGGTAAGATGGTGTATTATTTATGAAGGTGCGGGGAGTCGGTTTCTTCAGTCACCGACTCCGAGTCAAAAGAAGAGCCTCCTGACAATGATATAGTAATAAAGCCTGAAGTGGCTCCAGAATGTATGCAAGATGGGCCGAAGCCTCAGCCTTAGCCCGAACAACTTATTGAAATAGATCTGAGTGATGGACAAGATGCACCGAGGCCGGTATTCGTAAGTTCGAGCCTTAGCCCAGAGAAGCGGGAACAGTTGTTAAAGTTGAAAAGCCGATACTCAGATGTGTTTGCTTGGTCATATAAGGAAATGCCCGGACTAGATCCTGACCCAGTCTCCCACTATCTTGATGTGTTCCCAAACTCCAAGCCAATTAAGCAAGCTGCTCGAAAATATCATCCAGATCTCGAAGAGAAGATTAAGGAGGAGATTGAAAAACTTCAACAGGCTGGTTTCATCCGGCCAATACAGTACCCACGTAGTTAGCAAATATCGTGCCAGTAAAGAAGAAGAATGGCCAAATCAGAGTATGTGTAGACTTTCGAGATTTGAACAAATCTTGCCCGAAGGATGAATTCCCTCTTCCTCACATCGACACCCTCGTGGATACTACCTCGGGACACCAGATGTTCTCATTCATGGATGGATTCAGTGGATACAATCAGATTAAGATGGCTGAAGAGGACGCAGAAAAGACTGCTTTTAGAACACCTCTCGGAAACTTCTTCTATACAGTCATGCCTTTTGGACTCAATAATGCCGGTGCAACTTACCAAAGGGCTATAACTGCAATCTTTCATGGCATGATCCATCCTGCTTTTAGAACACCTCTCGGAAACTTCTTCTATACAGTCATGCCTTTCGGACTCAAGAATGCAGGTACAACTTACCAAAGGGCTATGACTGCAATCTTTCATGGCATGATCCATCATGAGGTGGAAGATTATGTTGATGATCTAGTGGTGAAATCCAAGAAAAAAGAAGACCATCTCCGAAACCTTGAGAAGGAATTCAAGAGGTGCCAGAAATTCAAAATGAGGATGAATCCTCTCAAATGTGCTTTCGGGGTGACGGCCGGGAAGTTCCTCGGGTTTCTTGTACATAGGCATGGCATCGAGGCAAATGAAGACAAGGTCAAATCTATCAGAGCAATGCCTCCCCCGCATTCTCAGAAGGAGTTAAAGAAGTTCCTCGGGAAGGTGTCTTATATTCGGAGGTTTATCCCAACACTGGCAGAGATCTCCGCGTCTTTCGGCTCTTTGTTAAAAGGAGATGCCAAGTTCGAGTGGAACCAAGAGCACCAAAAGGCCTTTGAGAGAATCAAGGCGGCCTTGACCTCGCCTTAGACCATGATAGCCCCGCAGCCCGGGGTGCCTCTAATGTTGTACCTAACTTCAACCCCCAAGTCCATAGGGGCATTAGTGGTCCCAGATGTAGATGGAGCAGAACGCCCGGTGTATTACATCAGCCAGAAGATCCGAGGAGCAGAAGTCCGATATACTCCGATAGAGAGACACTGCTTAGCTTTGGTATTCACCGCCCAAAAGCTCAGACATTACTTCTTAGCACATCAGATTCAGATTGTTACTAGGAGTGATCCAATCCGATACCTCATCAGCAGGCCTGCTATAACCGGGAAGGTGGCAAGATGGTTGTTAGCACTGGGTGAATTCGAGATCACATGTGTAGCCCCCAAGGCGATTAAAAGCCAAGCCTTAGCTGACCTCCTTGCTCAAATTCCAAGTGGTGACTATGAACCAGTGAATGAAGAAGTAAGAGGAGAGGTACATGCAGCTATGGCTTCCGAGGAAAGCTTTTGGACATTGAGCTTCGACGGAGCAGCAGCCGGAGGAAAAGAAGGAACCGGGATAGTCCTTACAAGCAAAAATGGGGAAAAGTTATATTTGTCTTATAAACTGGATTTCCATTGTTCGAATAATGAAGCCGAGTATGAGGCTCTTATGTTAGGCTTGATAGCAGCTGAGAAGCACAGTATCAAGAAGATTCGGATTCGGGGGGACTCAAAGTTGATAGTGAAGCAAGTTTCAGGACAGTTCGTCTTAAAGGAGCCTGCCTTGGCCACATATCGAACAACAGTCCGAAGGCTTCTTGGCAAATTTCAGAAGGTCGAAATAGAGCATATGCCTTATTCCGACAACAAGTTTTCAGACGCCCTCGCTACATTAAGGGCAGGGGTTGATATCCCAGAGGAGGAGGCGACAATTATTATCAAGAAGAGAATAGAGCCTTCGATAATACCTGAAGACAAAGGCCTTCCGGAGGACTGGAGAAGAGAAGTCCTCGAACAACTCAGAAGCAAAGTTGGAAAATTGACTATGGCCAAGCTTGCCCAATTCATAATTATTCAAGGTGAACTTTACTTTCGAGGAGGTACCGGATTCCTAGCCCGGTGTGTTGGCCAACAAGAAGCAAGTTTTCGACTACAACAGATTCATGAAAAATCCTGCGGGGATGGGGATATCAGTCTGTACAGAAAATCCAAAGACATGGCTATGATGGTATATGACGGCCACAACCCGAGCAGCTGGTGAAAACTTTCCAAATGATCTTGCAACTCCAGGGGCAAATGTCAACATTCCGTAAAAGAAGTCTACCTATGACATTTACAGTTTGCATTTACTGCATTGTGCATGAAGTTCTATCTTTCTTATGTTATGAAGAAATTTATTTCGTCCATATTATGTATCTCCATTAAAAGTTATTTTCTCTACATTGTATATCTTCATTGTGTTATGTTGCTTGAAACATTTTTCAATTTTTGTTGCCCCTCAAAGAAGAAAAAGGAATGGTAGACTCAGTTACCAACCTGAAGGGAGTTTTCTTGACACAGTAGAAGTATACTTCCACTCGGACCTCCGAAGAGCAGCCATGGCTTCCATCAATGCAAGCTTTGAGGGTTTTTCTTGCTGAAGTAGAGTGTGTTCTCCGCCTCAGACTTTCGAAGAACAGATCTTGCTTCCATCAGTGCGAGCTTCGAGGGATAGCCTTTGCTTCCATTAGCTGCCGAAGTAGAAGTGCGCATTCACTCGGACTTCCGAGAGACAGCCTTGTTTCTGCTCGAACTTCAGAGGGACAGCCTTGTTTCCGCTCGAACTTCTGAGGGACAACCTTGCTTCTGCTCGGACTTCTGGGAGACAATCTTTACTTCTATTGGTGCAAGCTTGGTAGACTCGGTTATCTTCCAGAGGAATTTTTCTTGTCAAAATAGGGTGTGTGCTACTTTCGGACTCCCGAGGGACAGTCTTGCTTCTGTTCAGACTTCCGAGGAAGAGCCCTTGCTCTCATTAGTGCAGGTTCTAAGGGCCCCGAGGTCATGAATTTCGCACAAAAATTTATTTTCCTGAAATAGTAAAGCCGACAAATGAGATGCGCAATGTTAATTTCATATCCAGATTCAGGCATTATCAGAATGGGGCAACATCAACAATAGTAATGAGCAACTTATGTTGCAACAATTCTACTCGTCCGAGCAAGTTCATGAAAATGCAGCAATCAATTATTGACAACAAGATTTATATACAATATGAAAGATTTATTTCCTCGGATTTCTTTTGCAACAACATTTATTTACTCTACAAATTTCAAGACGAGCAAGTCTAACAAAATTTTGAGTAGCAACACCAATCCTTCATTTGCCGCATTAATACTCTATCTATGTCAGATTTATCAACACAAGGTCAAGTTTCAAAACATGAATTTCAGGACTACATTTATCATGCAAATCAAGATTCAATAGAGGCAATAGCTATTTCAAGACAACATTGCAGCATCAAAGTTCTATGCAAGTCGGGATCATCAATAGAAGCTCAAACCTCATGCAAAGGCAAAAAAAAAAATAATAATAATAATAATAAAAATAAGGCACAGAATAAGAGTGCTTATTCTTCAACGTGCCCTACCGGTCGGATTTCATTCAAGCTTTATGATTGGAATCCTGCAGAATTTCCTAGACGACTTCGGCACCAAATATTTCAGTGGTTGGCCAGCATGCCTGTTGAGTTGGAGGGGTATATCCGTCCTGGTTGTACAATCTTGACTCTGTTCATTTCAATGCCTAATTTTATGTGGTCTAAGTTACATGAAGACCCTGTTATATATATACATGACTTTGTTGATGCTCCCGGGAAGATGCTATATGGAAGACGATCTTTACTTGTTTATTTAAACGATGTGATTGTTTTTTTTTTTTTTGTGTATGATGAGAGATGGAACTTCTGTGATGCAAGTGAAGGTGTAGGAGCAGGCCCCAAAGCTTTGCTATGTTTATCCTACATGTTTTGAGGCTGGGAAGCCTATGGAGTTCATGGCTTGCGGAATTAATCTACTTCAACCCCAATTTTGGTTTCTTGTTTCTTTTGCTGGGAAGTGTTTGGCATATGATTATTGTGTTCCACCTCTCTATGGTGACACTGAAGGGGTCACGGCTAGTTTCAATCATCAGTTATTGAGGATATATATCCCTCATACTGAACCAGATTTCTTTTTTGGGCCTGCGTTTATTGAGGTTGAGAATGAGTCCGGCTTATCCAACTTCGTTCCCATTCTAATTGGGAACAAAGAAATTTGTTCTGAAATAAAGATTATGGAAGCATCACTCTGTTTGAAAGGATCAAAGTTCATGACTACTAGTTCTTCGTCTAATCCATGCGAATAAAATTTTACCCACAGAGCAGAGAAAGCAAGAGCAGATTCAAAGCAAAAATGAACAAGGAAACCGAGAAATGGTGCAAACCGGAGCCGGATAAGCCGCGGCTAGAGGCAGTGGCAAGGCCGCAAGTGTGAGACGCACGAACACGGGCTGTAGATATGAAGCAAGCACACTCGAGGCCAACGACAAGCTGTGCAGTGCTAGGCAAGACCACACACGTCGCGTTGAGTGGGCGGACGTGTATGGTCAGTGTCGGACAATCCGAAGCCGGAGGCAGCAGGCGGTGTGCAAGCGACGGAGTAGTTGGACAGACCGACGCCGCGTTGAAAGGGCGGGCGTGGTCGGCGTTGGCCAGATCACGGCTGAAGACGGTGCCTGGAAATTGCGACGACGGCCGGCGTACTAACATCGGTGGTCTTCAGTAGTTGCAAAGCAAGCTGGTCACGATTTGGTTTGGCAGCGGAGGAACGTTGAAGAAGAAAGCTGGGTGATCTCAGTTTGGAGGGAAAGTGTGCTGAAATGGGTCCTTGGAGTTTGGGAACACATCAAGATAGTGGGAGACTAGGTCAGGATCTAGTCCGAGCATTTCCTTATATGACCAAGCAAACACATCTGAGTATCGGCTTATCAACTTTAACAACTGTTCCCGCTTCTCTGGGCTAAGGCTCGAACTTACGAATACCGGCCTCGGTGCATCTTGTCCATCACTCAGATCTATTTCAATAAGTTGTTCGGGCTGAGGCTTCGGCCCATCTTGCATACATTCTGGAGCCACTTCAGGCTTTATTACTATATCATTGTCAGGAGGCTCTTCTTTTGACTCGGAGTCGGTGACTGAAGAAACCGACTCCCCGCACCTTCATAAATAATACACCATCTTGCCTCCTTCTCGAACTTTCATCACCTTCCGAGGAATAGGCGGACTTTCTGGTCTAGACATCGCCCGCTTACTTGATTCTGTCATCGGCTCCTTGTCATCTTTGATATCCTCCCAACGAGGAATTTTGACCCCTCGAGGCTTAGAGGTGGTGGGAACTTCTTCGACAGCCAGTTCGGTGAAGTAGATGGCATCAGAATAATCAGCTTCATGGATCTCGAACGGCCTTTCTGTAGCCTGAATTGTCACCGTCTTCTTTCCCCATTTAGCCTTAACACACTGATGATAACTTGATGGTACAGCCCCATATCTATGCATATCCCGGTTCCTCCCTTCCCTCCGGCTGCTGCTCCGTCAAAGCTCAATGTCCAAAAGCTTTCCTCGGAAGCCATAGCTGCATGCACCTCTCCTCTTAATTCTTCATTCATAACGCAAGGGAAATACAACCTTTAGACAAAGTAAGAAAGTGAAAATGAATTTCAACATAGATGAGTCCAACTATGGGTAGTAATGCTTGATAAACTTTGCATTGAGCGGGCCAGTTCGGAAGCCGTCTTCAACCCTTACAAGTTTGTAGTACCCGCTTGAGCTCGCCCGAACCACCTTGTAGGGCCCTTCCCATTTTGGAGAAAACTTGGGTAAAGGCTGTCCTCGCATGATTGGGTCTACAATCTTCCATACTAGATCACCTTCTTCCCTCGTATAGCAGTTATAGATGACGATGATGATGAGGCTGAGTCCTCCGATCATTTTTGTGACCTTATTCCACGCACGCGTCGTCATCGCCCTACCGTAGCTGAGGAGGAGCACTACCTTGGTGACGAGTTTGTTGGGGCTCACCGTTCTGATGTTGAGATTACTAG